GGCCGTCGCGCAGCCTCGGCACCTGTCGGTCGGTGTGTCCCGGAGCTGGCGCCCCTGACTCCGTCGGGGCCAGGGAGGGCCATGATTTCCCTGACCCGTCCCCCGGCGACCAACTTGCTGCGGGTTTTGTTCCTGGGGCTGAGTATCCTCGGTGAGTGAAACCCGGGGACCAGGAGGGGACCTGGCGCGGGGTGCGGTGGATCCGGCCCTTAGGGAGGACTTTGGGCACTGATAAGGACCTGGGTCCGACGGGACCCCCGCCTTGAACTCATACTCTCCCCCCTCACTTTACCCTGGGGTCTCACTGGCTGGTGCTGACTTCTCTCCCTGCTACGGTGGGGGCAGCTCCCAGTTTCAGCGCGGTGTGTGTGTGTAGGGGGGAGGGAGGACACCTCTGGGGTGAGTTAGCGGAAACCATTCCTCACCCCCTACTCCCAACCCCCACTCAGCAGAGCCGGATGAGCTGAGCCGCTAGATGAGACACCGGCTAAAGAGCTTAAGGACTTAACTCGAGCCCCCCTCTCATCCCCTGACCCTCACACACAAGCTGATGGGGAAGATCCCCGCAGAATTCCCCCGGCCCCCAGGCTTGACACACGCACTTCGCTTCAATTCCCCAGGCCAGATCCTCCCTCTTGCCCCCTCCTCCTGCTTCCTGCTCTGGAAATCAAGGGAGGTGCCCCCAAAAGGATGCCCGTGAGGTCATTTGGGACACAGGAAATGGGGGAGGAGTCTAAATGCGCAAAGGAACAGAATAGTGACCCCTCCCCAGGTCTACTACCCTTATTGGTTCTCAGAACCAAAGGGACAAAGGAAATGGGGAAGGGGGTCTCAAAGGGTCAGAGAGTAAGGGAACCTCCATGGAACAAGTGCCTGGGGAGTGCTGAAGGCCTCCAGGGGCCCTCGCTTCAGGTGGGGGTGACTCAGTGCTCCATCTGGAGAAAACTCAACAGGAGCTAGGCGCATTAGAAGCCGGTTCACCTACGGCCTCAGGCTTTCTTGCTCTCCCCCTTCAAGGAACTTGAACTGGCTGAAGGGTGGGTTTGGCTATATTGACTTTCACCCATTTCTCTTTGGTTGGAGGGTACAGGGCAAGGAAGCCCTGGAAGGGTGTAGGGTGAAATTCAGCCACAATGATGGGGACAGAGATGGGGATCCCTTAGGCCCTGCCTCTGTCCCCTTTCGCCTGGTCTGTGTCCCACGTTTGTTGAGGCACGAAGAACTAGAGTCCTCAGGCAAAGTAGGTCTCAAGAGCAGCTCGCTCCCCAGCCACACCAAAGCCAGAACAGAATCCTCTCCCTCTGGGAAGGTTGGGCCTGCTCTAGGATCCTTCAGCTTCTCAGCCCGGCTTTCCCGGAGTCAACCTCAACTCCTACTTTGCTTGCATTCCACCCAACTCTCCCACCCACCCGTACTGCTGCGGGGGTCAGAGGGTGTCTGAAGCAAGAGCGGAAAATTCAAGTTTGCTGTCTGGGCATACCGGGTGTCACCTGCTGCTCTTCTGCAACCTCTCCCTTTTCTACCCCACCTCTGAGCCTTCGTTTGTCATACTGCAGGCTTGGACTCAAAAGTTCCTACCGGGCCTTTCGGGGGTCGCCCAGCTCCCGCTCGAGGGTGAAATCGCGCTCGTTCCCCGGGGCAGGCAGCGGGCCCGGCGGAGAGACCCTCCTCGCCTGGGCTCTGGACGAGGCGCTCCCGCTCTGCTCACTGCTCGCCAGCCGCCGCTGCCCCTGGGGCGTGAGAAGCCCGCGGGGGGAGTTTCTCAGAGAAGAGGGAGACTAAAAATAGTAGCCCTGGGGAGCGGACCCATGTCACTCTCCTGCCCCTTGCCGGCTCCCTCGGTCTGGTCTGGAGCGGGCCGTGGGCCGGAAGGGTCCCTTTCTTGGGCTGCTCCTGTGTCCTTCACTCGGAACCACCCGACCTCCTTTTCCCTCTCGGCTGCACCGTGGACCCTGGGAGCGAAAATGGCCGACCAGTTGGGGGCTTCCTCTCCAGCGGGCACCCAGGCCTGGGGGCAGAGAAGTTTCGGGCTCTCTTTGCTCCTCGTTTCTGACTGGGGACGGAGGACAGGGAGCATTTGGCCAGCCTCAGTGTGTCCATTACTATCTTTTCATCACCTTTGTACCTTTCTGCGACGTGCAGTGACAAATATGAGACCTGGGGAAAGTCGCCTGGGGCGTTAGCCCCCCTCTCAGGCCTGGGCAGTTTCCTGGCGGGAGCTGCCTCTGACCACTCAACGTGTGCTGCCGAAAGACACCATCCCCAGGCTCCAGGCGTGCCCGGACGAGTGGCCCACAGCCGGGTCTCCTGGGAACGTCAACCTCCTTGAGGCGGAGTTGTTTTCGCCCCTGTAGTCTCCGGTCTAGCAGCCCCCCCTCCATTGTCTTATGCTTTATCACCGGGCACAAGTTTCCTGCTCAGACCTCAGGGACCCGCCAGGAAATGGGGGTGGGGGGGCTGCGAAGGCCAAGGAATAGGGGTGGGGGTTCTGTAAAGACGCGCAGCCGGGAAGCGGTGAGGGGTGGCGCGCATCCTGGCCGGATCGGCTCCCAGGCCTTCGGGGCCTTCAGCCCGGCAGGTCTGTTCCCTACGCGGAGATGGCGTCTCGTACTCCGGGGCAGAGTGCCAGGCCTGGGAACAGCAGGGTCCAGGTCTGGGGCAGCCAGCATCCTCGAGCCTGGAGGGGTGCAAGCCCAAGTGCATTCCCCAAAGGGCTTAGCGCTCGGCTACTCCACTGTCTCCCTGGGAGGGCGGGAGGAGGGGGAGAGAGTGTCCTTGGACGCCACGGCGCAAACGATAGCCCCCTCCTTGAAACCAACCTGCGATCCACCCGCTGAACGCCAGACACACACAGGAGAAGTTCTACATTTGTTAAAAGACCCGCGTTCTCCCTGCCCTAAATTCCCTGCGGTCCGAGCGGACCCACCCAGATCGCCCGGACCCCAAAAGGTCTCTGAGGAGCTTTCTGGGTCTCAACACTCCGCTTTCCTAGAGAAATCCTCACGTCGGGTTAAGAACTCCGGAGCGAAGAACCTTGGTGGCCCGGACCAGCGTCGCTACTCTCCCTTGGCTCTCGCTCGGGGAAATTGGGGGAACCAAGTGGGCTATGTGGGATGTCGACCAAAAGTAATAGATCTGTCCCGTTCTCCTGATATCTTACCCTCCTCGCTGGAAATCTTACCCTTCGCTGATCTCTTAGCCCCCTCTTCTTGGCGCTGAGAAATGTGCGCCTTTGGATACGAATAAATGCATAGAAATGTGTCCCTATGCCGCTGTAGCCCCAGAGGTTGGAGTGGACAAAATAAGCTGTGATGACACTGAGATCAGGACACGAGTCAGCGGTCCCTGGGCACTCCTCAAGGCCTCCAGGGCCGGACCCCGTGGGGTTCCCTTAGCGTTCGCGCGACTCTTGCAACCGCTCTCCTCCAGCCGCGTCGGGCGGGTTCCGCGGGCGGAGCACGGAGCCCTCGGCGCTCACGCCTGCTCGCTCTTGTCTCCAGTGTCCCCCTCGCGGGCCCAGGTGGAGCTGCACGTGCCCGCCGGCCTCACCAAGTTGCAGGCGGTAGAGGGCGAGGAAGTGGTGCTCCCGGCGTGGTACACCGTGCCAGGAGGGGACGTGACTTCAGGCGTGCCAGGGGAGATGCCCTTCGTGATGTGGTTCTTGGAACAGAAGGGGAGAGATCTGGACCAGGTGAGTCGGAAAACACCTCGGCCAGGGGCAAGATGGGCCTTGCCAAGCGTCATAGGGAAACAGCTGGCAGCAGTGAGAGGGTGGCTGGGAATGGGGCCAGGAGCGCAAGTGTCCCCACCGGTTCAGTGTTTGTTCTGATATTGGAGACTTCCCAAAAGAATTCTCTTTCACCCAACTTTTCTTGGAAGTCCAGCACACAAAACACTGTAAAAGGGCGGGGCGTGGTGGCTCACGCCTGTAATCCCAGTACTTTGGGAGGCCAAGGCAAGAGGATTGTTGAGCTCAGGAGTTTGAAACCAGCCTAGGCAACATAGAGAGACCTCCTCTACAAAAATAAAAAAAATTAGCTGGGTGTAGTGGCGCTTGCCAGTAGTCCCAGCTACTCAGGAGGCTGAGGTAGTAGGATCACCTGAGTCCAGGAGGTCAAGGCTATGGTGAGCCGTGATCATGCCATTGCACTCTAGCCTGGACTACAGAGTGAGACCCTGACTCAAAATAATAAACAAACAAGCCAGGCTCGGTGGCTCAGCCTGTAATCCCAGCGCTTTGGGAGGCTGAGGTGAGTGGATTGCCTGAGCCCGTGGGTTCGAGACCCGCCTGGGCAACTTGGCGAGACCTCATCTCTACAGTAAATCAAAAATTAGCCAGGCATGGTAGCGCACACCTGTAGTTCCAGCTACTTGGAAGGCTGAGGCAGAAGGATCACTGGAGCCCAGCAGGTCGAGGCTGTGGTGGCCGGGAGTATGCCACTGCACTCCAGTCTGGGTGACAAGAGTAAGACTTCAACTCAAATAATAATAATAAACAAACAAAAGAACAGGATTTCCATCTTTAAAAAAATTCTAAAAGCAGAGAGGCATTTTACGTGGTTATGAGGGGGCAGGGATAGTAGGGGGATACTGGAAGATAAGGCTAGGGAGAGGCTTAGGGCAAGTAACACACACAACCTTAAAAAGTTGAGCATGCTTCTGTTATTATGTTCTGTGCTTTGGATACTGTTGAGTCACAGCCCACTTCTGTTCCCAAATGATTATCATCTGTTCCCCTGCCCCTTTATACCACCTTGAGAGGCAAGGGACAGTCTTTTTCTCAGTCTCCCACACTTGTCCTCTTTTTTGATACCAGACTTACACTCAGAGGTAGATTTACCCAGAAGCGAATGAAACATCTTTCAGAGCTTCTCACATGCATGGACTCCTTCCAAGGTCCTGGGAAATGTGTTCAAGAAAGTAATTTGATATTGTATTTCCCTATTTATATTATCTCTCCTTCTCCCCTTACGTCACCTTTCTCTCATCCAAGTACAAAACAGGCCTGACCCTGCTTAGCTTAGGTCAGATGAGATCAGTTGCATTCAAGGTAGACATTATGTCACCTTTCTAAACATCACAATGGGAGATGAAGAAACAACACATAGGACACCAGGAAGTGTTCTGGTGAAAAGGACCCAGGGACACCTCTGAGAGGATGGCTAGGGAGATGGGTGAATGGGAAGCTGGTTCAGGGCTGAAGGATGGGTGCAGGTAATGGGCATCTGAAGAATGCCGGTTTGGGGAGGGATATTGGCTGAACCTGTGAACACAAGCATGCATGTAATAACAGGGAGGTGTTATCTCTACACCAGGTGTTGTCCTATATCAATGGGGAAATGACAAGCAAATCCAGAGTATCCCTGGTCTACTCCATGCCGTCCCGGAATGTGTCCCTGAGGTTGCTGGACCTCCAAGAGAAAGACTCTGGCTCCTACCGCTGTTCCGTGAATGTGCGAGATCCCACAGTGAAGGGACATAGCAGCAAAACTTTAGAACTCAATGTACTGGGTGAGTGAGACTCATGCACTTCCAGATTCCTCCCCACCCCCACTGGGAGGTCTGGCAGGTCTCTGTCCCAAAAGGCTGATTGCAAGGGTTGGAGGAGGGCAAATGGAGTGAGAGAAGGGTAGGGGTGGGGGTGGGGGGAAGGATCTGTGGGTTCCTGGGTGTGGGTTTTAACCTGTCTTACCTTGCCCAGTTCCTCCAGCTCCTCCATCCTGCCGTCTCCTGGGCGTGCCCCGTGTGGGGACCAATGTGACCCTGAGCTGCCAGTGCCCGAGGAGTAAGCCCTCTGCCCAATACCACTGGGAGCGGCTGCCCCCAAACATGGAGGTTTTCTTTCCACCAGTTTTAGGTGAGGGAACTTCTGGAAACAACTGAGCCTGTGGCCAGGGAAGGGGAAAGCTGAGGTACCACAGAAACTGGGGTGAAAAGGAGAGGAAGGTGAGGATGAGACTAATGTGGGGAAGGGAGCAGAGAAAGATGGCCTGCTAGGGGCAGACATGGTGTTAGGTGCCTTCACGTGTGCACACCGTGACTAAGCAGCACTGGAGCTAGCGTCTGGGTTCAGACTATAGCTCTTCCATTCACTGACTGTGGGATTCTGTGCCTCCAGTCCTGAATTTGCAAAATGAGGATTTTACAGTTTTATAGTTTGAACCTATCAGAGTGATTTGAACACTAAAAAATATTTTAGGGACAATCAAAACATTTTTAACATGGAGTATTAAATGATTGTAGATACTTATTCATTTCTTAGGTGTAGCAATGATATTGTGGTTTTGTGGGACAATGCAATTTTTTTGGAAATTTATACTGAAAAAGAAACAGAAATCAAATATGGCAAAAACGATATGGTAAAACGTTAGCAACTGTTGGATCTAGCTGGTAGGCATATGGATTTTCAATTCTCTCTTTCTACTTTTCACTTAGCCGTTTTTATGATAAAAGCTTTTTCTTTTTAAAAATAGTGCTTATTACCTCATAGGTTTGTTGTGAAATTTTGGTAAGTTAATACATAGAAAGAACTTAGAGCTGTCTTTGGCATAGAATAGACAGCCAATAAATGTTAGCTATTATAAGGATGAGTCCGTATAATCTTTTCAATGCTATCAGGTAGGTCATATTGCCATTTTACAGATGAAGAAATGGAGACCCAGAGATATCAAGTAACTTGCTTGAGGTCACATAGCTTGTTCTGGAACCCAGATTTTCTAGTTCCTAGCCTAATATTCTTTCTCTCTTTTCACACTGCCTATCAAAAATTAAATTAAATATGGTGTTTTGGTTTTTCTGTGCATCACCTTCTCTTTAGCCTCCTTTCAGATATCAGCTGGGGACTCTGACTGATGAGTAGGATTAGAAAGGGGTATTGAGCTAGCTTGTCTGCAATTGGGAGCAGAGGCCAGCATGCTGGCTGTTACACCTTTCTCCTCCATTGGGGTACTAGACAAGCTGTGACTCTCAGAGAGTCAAAAAGGATACGCTAGAGGAAGAACAGGATTTTTTTTTTAATGGGAAAGAGGATTCCTAGACTGATGGCTAAATTGTGTCCACAGATGTCACGCTTGGGTATTTAAGCCTCTCCAACCTTTCCACTTCCATGTCTGGAGTCTATATCTGCAAGGCCCACAATAAGGTGGGCAGTGCCCAGTGCAATGTGACCCTGGAAGTGAGCACAGGTCAGTGAGGGGTAAGTGTGGTTAAGAAGAGTGGTCAACACTTGGGGGGTGTTGCAAGAGGGGAGGAAGCCTGTCTGCTGAGGCCTCTCAATGTCACAGGGCAGGGAGCGTGCCCCGGTTAAATGTTTGTACAAATGTTTGGTCAGTAACTGGCCATTTCCTGCTTGACAGCCACCCCTCTTCTTAACAGGGAAAAGACAATATGTGTGATAGCAGTGGGGGCAGTGAGATTGGAGAGGGCTGGGGACAGCCGGGTGTTCCACTCTGACACCAAGCCTTTTCCAGGGCCTGGGGCTGCGGTGGTTGCTGGAGCTGTTGTGGGCACCCTAGTTGGATTGGGGCTGCTGGCTGGGCTGGTCCTCTTGTACCAGCGCCGAGGCAAGCCCCCAGAGGAGGCACCCAATGATATCAAGTAAGTGTCCCGATCCGTGTTGTGATGGGGGCTCTCCTAGCTCTCCTCACAGACTCTGGATTCAGGCAGCTCCCATCTCATGGAAAGGTGGGCAGTAGCTGAAACATCATTCCTACGGGCAGATTTTAAGGGAAAGGGAGAGGAGGGTTGAAGTGTAGGGGAAAGGGGTTGTAAGTCAAAGCATGTAGCAACTCTCCCCTTCCTCCCTCTTCTACTTCTGACCTCTTATAACTTGTTTGACTACTAGGGAGGATGCCATTGCTCCCCGGACAATGCTGTGGCCCAAAGGATCAGACACAATCTCCAAGAATGGGACCCTCTCCTCTATCACCTCGGCACGAGCCCTCCGGCCACCCCTCAGCCCTCTCAGGTCTAGTACATTGACCCCCACACCCAGTCTCTCCAGCCAGGCCCTGTCCTCACCAAGCCTGCTCAGGACAGATGGGGCCCACCCTCAGCCAATATCTCTCAGCCCTGGCGGAGTTTCTTCCTCTACCCTGAATCGCGTGGGTGCTGTGCCTGTGATGGTGCCTGCGCAGAGTCAGGCTGGGTCTCTGGTGTGATGGCCCAGCCACTCATTGGCTAAACCATCTGGTGTTACTCCTTCCTACAGAGGTCACCCCTAGCACAGAGGCCCAAGTCTTGGGAGAGTAGCCACCCTCCAGACCTCTAGTCCTCTGTTCTCACCTCTCCTTGCTGTGGGAAAACTGAGTCTCAGTAAGACCCAAATGTCCAGGAGGTAGAAGGAGAAGAGGAAGTGGATCCGGGATTAGGAGGAACCTCCACCAATTCTTCAGTCCTCCCTATGAAGCCAGCTGAATGCTGCTGAGATTGACTACTGCCCAGCACCCTGGAGGAAACTGCCAGTCAGAGTCCCTCAGGCCCCCTTGTTCTATACCCCAACCCTGTCTAATACCATTCCTTGCTCCCACTCCAGCTCCCCACATTGGCATAACCTGTTCTGTTGGCTTGGTTGGGTTTTGTTGGGGCAGGGGATAGGGAGGATATTTTTAAAACTAACTTGAAATGTATGTTTTTGTTTTTATTTTGCAAATTTCAATAAAGTTATATTGTGTTTGCATGGAATAAGAATTAAATTGCCTTTTCAAACTAGGAAGACCCAGAAGTTGAGCTTTAGGGTGATACAAAGTAGACCCCTACCCAGGTTGTGGACCCAAGAGGACTTCTGTACAGCCTTAGAGCTTACTGACTCAAGGTTGCTCTTGCAGCGTGTTTTTATTTTTTTTTTGAGTCGGGGGTCTCACTCTGTGACCCAGACTGAAGTGCAGTGTTACAATCATGGCTCACTGCAGCCTTGACCTTCCACTTCGACCTCTCGCCTCAGCCTCCCATGTAGCTGAGACAACAGGCATGTGCCACCATGCCTGGCTAATTTTTTTTTTCCTTTGGTAGGGATGAGGTCTCACTGTGTTGCCCAGGCTGGTCTTGAACTTCTGGGCTCAAGCGATCCTCTGACCTCAGCCTCCCAAAGTACGGGAGTTACAGATGTGAGCCACCATGCCTGGCCTCTTCTAGAGTTTTTAGAAGGGTCATTTGTTATCATTTGGAGAGGAAGATGAGACCCTAACTTATTCTGAGCAGCAAGGGGATGGAACTGGTGGGCTTTCTGCTGGGGCTTGAAAGCTCTGAGCTTGGGTGTGTGTACACCTTATCTCCTGCTTCTTCAGGGACAGTGGAAAGGAAATTAAGGTGTGCTCCCCTCTCCTACGCCACTGAATCCTTAACAAATACGCTTTCTTGCCCATTCAGAAGTGATCTCCCTTGTTACTGAGGGAGAGCTGGGCATAGGTGGGGTGCAAGTTTGTCAGAATTCCACCATGTCCTTTTCTGCCAAGGGTGGGATTTCCTCTAGGTCTCACTTTCTCTGCCCATAAAATGAAGAACTGGAAGTGCTTGTGGTTTCCATGGAGACTCCTACTTCAGCAAGTGGTGCAAAGAAGAGGGGCTTGGAAGGAACTAGAATCTCTAAAGATGCCAGAAATATTCCGTGGCCTAGGACTCACACTTACTGGTTGGGGCTCCCAGGTGGGGCTGTAACATTTGCCAGCTCTAACTGTATCAGAATGCCTCCCTCTTCCTCCAAACTCACTTTCCCTCCAAAGCTTGGGTTCTTAGCCATTCCCCTCAGGGTGCCCACCTGGAGTGCAGTCCTTTGCCCAGGGCCTGACAGCTTCAGACACTGGAGGAAGACTGGAGCAGAGCTAGAGTGATTCCAGAATTGGGCCCCGAGGAGGGAGGAGCATTTTTTTTTTAAGCTGAGGTTGCTGGCCTCTCCCCTTGTTTGCTCTGAGATAGCCAGTCTTGCTCCTGCCCAGCAAGAGGCAGACGTGGCCATGGCGGGGTTTCCAGGGCCTCTTCTCTGCGGGGCCCTGTTGGGCTTCGTGTGTCTGAGAGGTGAGGAGGGGCCGGGCAGGACCTTGGTGAGAGCTCAGGGGCATAGGTTCGGCTTCTCCAGCTAACCTGGGTCTGCTCAGACCCCACCTGGCGGGCTGTGGCTGCTGTGGGCCGTAGGGGCCAGGGAGGCGGCAGGGGCTAGGCCAGGGAGGGGGCGTCGAAAGCCTGCAGGGTGGGGAAAGAGGAACCCAAGCCGGCAGGCCGGGCGGGTTTGGCCTCTCCGTGGCAGAGGGCTTACCCACCGCAGGACTATTGTTGTCTTTCTCTGCAAAACACACCCTCATATCTGACTTAGCCTCGGCCCTTTTACCTACAAAAAACCGGCCGGGCTGTGGCACCTCCTTCCCGGAAACTTCAGGTTTCTGGAAGGGAGAGATTGGATTGAGGGAAGGGGGTTGTGCTAGAGAGTCCCTAGCTTCCGGTGTAGACACCCCGGGTGTGGGCTGGACCCTCCAGATCACCTGGGATTTGGGTGCCCGCCTTCCTCTGGTCCCCAGTCCCAGGGCTAGCCGTGGAGGTGAAGGTACCCACCGAGCCGCTTAGCGCGCCGGTGGGCAAGACTGCGGAACTGGCCTGCAGCTACAGCACCTCGGTGGGAGACAACTTCGCCCTGGAGTGGAGCTTTGTGCAGCCTGGGAAGCCTGTCTCTGCGTCCCATCCTGTGAGCTGAAACCAACTGCGCCGAGTTGGGTTGGCTGGGAGAGGCAGGGACCCAGGATGACAAGGTAGGGTCGGGAGGTGCATTTGGGGATCGGTATGCTTGGATGAAAAGGTAAGTGGGATCTTCCTAGATTTTTTTTTTTTTAGGGCTGCAGCCCGCATGACCCTACATCATCCCTTCCTTTCCCATTGCTTCTATATCTAACTTCCCTGTGTTACAGCAGTCCTACTTCAGTTAATAAACTCACTGACCGGCTGGGCGCAGTGGCTCAAGCCTGTAATCCTAGCACTTTGTGAAACCAAGGTGTGAGGATTGCCTGAGACCAGCCTGGCGAGACCTTGTGTCTACAATAAATAAATAAATTAGCTGGGTGTGGTGGTGTGCCCCTGTAGTTCCAGCTACTTGGAAGGCTGAAGTGGAAGGATTGTGAGCCCAGCAGGTCGAGGCTGCAGTGGCTGTGAGCATGCCACTGCAGTCCAGCCCTGGCGACAGAGTGAGACTCCAACTAAAAGAAATAAAATAAACCCATTGACACTAAGGTGTTGTGATATTAGGATTCTATGCTGGCTCTTCCAGGAATATTTGCATTAACTGAAAGTAATAAATCTAGTTCATTTAGCATCTGGAAAAGTGTGGTGTTTGGGGACAGATAGACCTTCCTGGTTCCAGCTACAGGGTATCAGCTTTCCTGGCTGATGTTAATGAGGGACCTCTTAGACCCACTTTTATGGAGGAGTGTAGGATTGATGCGAGGCAGGAAAAGGCACATATATGTGTCTTCTGCCTCTCTGCAGATCCTATACTTCACCAATGGCCATCTGTATCCAACTGGTTCTAAGGCAAAGCGGGCCAGCCTGCTTCAGAACCCCCCCACAGGAGGGGTGGCCACCCTGAAACTGACTGAAGTTCACCCCTCAGATACTGGAACCTACCTCTGCCATGTTAACAACCCACCAGATTTCTACACCAATGGGTTGGGGCTAATCAACTTTACTGTACTAGGTAAGGCAACTGGGGACCCATCAGCCACCACATACTCAGAAAGTTTGCGCTGGCCCTGCTAAGTTTCTCCATATCCTGACTTCCAGCCCAAGTGCACGACTGCACTGGGGACCCCAGGGAAAGAAAATACCCCCTTTCCAAGTCTCCTAATCTAGATGGTCATACTTCAACTCCACACTCCACAGAGTGAATCTCCTCCCTCACAGTTTAGTAACAATGGGTGTGAGAAAGAAAGCCCTTCCCATATATGGTGATCTGAGTCATGCCCCCACCAGCTTCTTTGGATATAGTTCCTCTCAAGGTCAGTGGCAGACAAGGGAAGTGGCCATTAAAGCAACAATGGCCTCTATCGTTGAGCATGAACTTTATGTTCAGAGCTTCCATCTCACCCCAGACTAGAGCCTGCTCAGAGATAAGTAACCAGAAGAAACTATTAAAGAGGCCAGGGATGTTTAGATGGAAAAGAGAAGACCGCCAGGCATGGTGGCTCACACCTGTAATCGCAGCACTTTGGGATGCAGAGGCCAGAGGATTGCCTGAGATCATGGGTTCAAGACCAGCTTGGGCAACTTGCGAGACCTCATCTCTACAATAAATCAAAAAGTTAGCCAGATATGGTGGTGCTCACCTGTGGTTTCAGTTACTTGGAAGGCTGAGGCGCAGGTCAAGACTGCAGTGGCTGTAAATGTGCCACTGCACTCCTGGGTGGCAGAGACTCCGACTCAAAAAAAAAAAAAAAGAAAAAGAGAAGACCTAGGATGTGGTGTTATGACTGCAGTATTAAAATATCTGAAGGGCTGTCAGGTGGAGGAGAGATTTTAATTTCTTTTTGTGAACCCAGAGGGCAGAAACTGGAACCGATGGGTGGACATTATAGTAATAGATTTTGGCTCAACATGAGAAAGGGTTTTCTAGCAATCAGAATTTCCAACAGTGGAAATACCTTCCTGGGGGTGCAGTGGTATGTGGACAGAAAAGATCCACTATTTGGTAGGGGTATTGAAGCAGGGAATCTGACACTTAATGTGGGTGGGGTTGGAAGGTTGCTAAAGAACTTTCTGTGGTCTTTGCAGTGCCCCCCAGTAGCCCCTCATGCAGTCAGAGTGGGCAAACTTCCATGGGGGGCTCTGCTGCACTGAGATGCAGCTCTTCCGAGGGAGCTCCAAAGCCAGTGTACAACTGGGTACGCCTTGGATCTTCTCCTACACCTTCTCCTGGCAGCATGGTTCAAGGTAAGGACCCAGGGCACCAGGAAGAGGGGACTTAAGACCTGGGCAAATCTGGTCTCCAAATCCCACATATCCACATTACCTGTTTTATGACTGGGGGTATGAGACAAACCACTATATTTTTCCCTGCCTCTTCCTTGGTTTCCTGTATTGTTGCTGTCTGTCTTCCTGCACAGTCTGGAGCTGGTTGATCCTGGGAGCATTTCTCAAGCTAAAAATACTCCTGATATCCTGGAAGACAGTGGAACCTAGGGAGCATTCTGATCATTCCCCCTTATCCACTTTTGGGAGATTTCTTTTCGTTTCCTTAAGTGGCATGAATGACTTCCAAACTTCCTGGAGATTTCAGAAACTGAGGCAGAGTAGCATGGACCAGCCTGAATCTTTGAGTCAGTTTCTTTGGAGAACTATATACTTAAGAGCTTTAGCTTTTCAACTTCCTCTTGTAGGCTCCAGTTGCCCTCTCTTGTTCCAGCAAACCCCTTTATCAATTCAGAAACTACCCCACCTCCCACCCCTCATTGCCTCCTGGTGTTTGCCTTCTAAAGCAAAGGTAAGCAGTATAAAAAAGCATTTGGATCAGCTGAGAGCCACCCCAGAGGATGTAGTTTCTAGCAGTCAAGCCTTTTACCCACAACCAATTCCATTGCCAGTTTCTGGACACTTCAGTCAGAAAAGGAGAGGGGAAAGCTGCCTCTGCTGGCAAGGCTAGCTGCTAGTCAGGGTCCAGAATAGGGATCAGAGCAATACTTCTCAAAGTGGGGTCCTCAGAGTACCTGGACAGAAATCACCAAGACCTTGTTACAATGTTCAGATTCAGGCTACTTCCTATCTCTCCTAGAGGTGTGTGTGTAGTCCCCCCTTTCTCCAAAAAGGCAGCTATGTAGAGTGGAAAGAACACAAACTGCAGTGACTTTGGAATTCCTCTCTGGGTCACCTCAAATTACCTCCTTTCTCTTAACCAGTTTTCCCACCAACAAAACAAGGTTAGTCCCTTCCTGACAGGACTGTCGTAAGGATGAAATGAAATGTGCTTTCCTCATAGTAGGTGCTGTGAGTTGAATAAGTGATGGGACACTTCGTTTTCATCCTCTAGATGAGGTGTCTGGCCAGCTCATTCTCACCAACCTCTCTCTAACCTCCTCGGGCACCTATCGCTGTGTGGCCACCAACCAGATGGGCAGTGCATCCTGTGAGCTGACCCTCTCTGTGACCGGTAGGGATGCTGGGCAGAGGCCAAGCAGGCAGACTTGGGTTGGGAGGTTGCATGAAACTGTCTGAGGACAGGCCAAAGAAGTTCTGTAGTTCTGAGTGTCTTGTGTCTCCTTAGAACCCTCCAAAGGCCGAGTGGCTGGAGCTCTGATTGGGGTGCTCCTGGGTGTACTGTTGCTGTCAGTTGCTGCATTCTGCCTGATCAAGTTCCAGAAAGAGAGGAGGAAGAAGCCCAGGGAGATATATGGGGGTAGTGACCTTCGGTGAGCAGGAGGCTGGGGGATGGTGCAGGGAGGGCTTGGCTTAAAAGTGGGTGCCTGCAGCTCTCAAACTCTGACATCATTAAATGTGTTGAGGGATGTTGCTCAGCCCTGAAATTCGGTGGTGGCAGCAGAATAACTTATGTATTTGAGTGAGTACAATATACAGGTTGAAGAGGTTGCTTCACAGGCTAGGGCAGGGACAGCTTAGTTTGCAGGATTGCCCTGCTACTCCTCATGCTTTAAAAGTATGTCACTTTTCTGTTTGGAAGGCATTTTCATTAACCACCAGGAAGTAGTGGTGGGTGGTGGATGCCAGGAGTTGGATTTGTCACGAGCACTCAGCTGAGTTTAGTTCTTCTGTGTGAGGTAATAAGGAAAGGAGAAGAGAAAGCTGCCTCTGCCGGCCATTTAAGCTGCCAGGCAGGGTCCAGAATAGGGATCAGAGCAATACTTTTCGAAGTGGGGTCCTCAGAGTACCTGGACAGAAATCACCAGGAACTTGCTAAACATTCAAGCTTGGACCGCATCCTATCCCTCCTAGAAGTATGTGTGTATGTGTGTTGGTGGGGGGAGGGTGATGAGGCCCAGAATCCTCATTTTAACCAAAGTTTCTCACAGGTGATTCTCATGCACAGTAAAAATTTAAAGCCCCAGGTTAGAGGATGGCCATCAGGCGAAGGGTGCTTCTAGCCTTCACTAACAATTTGCCTATATCCATCAGGGAGGATGCCATTGCTCCTGGGATTTCTGAGCAAACTTCTGTGAAGGTTGATTCTAGCAATGGACTCCTGGAAAGGCACTCGTCTGCCAGCACTGTGACCACCACCAAGTCCAAGCTCCCCATGATTGTCTGACTTCTCTCAGTCCATGAGGATGGCGAGGGGTGATTATCAATAATTAAAGTCTTTGGGTACCATATTGTCTCCCTCTTCTTTTGTTGGTATGGCGAATTCCTCTAGGCGGCTCAAAGAGCATTAGCAGGAAGGGAAGGAATGGGCTTGAAGTTCAAGAGACGATGCTGTAAGCAGGAAGTTTGGTTGTGTCAAAGGACTAGGTTTTAACCTAGGTGTCTCTCCACTTCCCCACCCTCCGCCTTTTTGGTTTGGCCGAATTAAACTTGTTTAAACTCCAAGCGGCGGCCTTGTGCACCCAAACTCCCCCTCCCCTCCGCCCCCACTGGCACCCTCTGAATACTTGGACATTCCTCTTTATTGTTCACATTCCAACCCAGCACAGTCACATGCACACACGGAGATTAAAAACCTTCCGGCCACAGCCCCAGGAGCCCGGCGGGGGCGGGGCCGGGAGGGGCGGGGCCGCGGAAGACTCCTCCTACCGAGCCTCCCAGGCGCTCGGCGTTTGCATAAACAGGAGAGCTGGAGCGGCTGCTCTCAAGAGTGCGCTGGGGAAGGGGGAGGGAACATGACAGGCAGGTGTGGGCTGGGGACTTCTCTTCCGATCCAGAGCAAGGAGCATCCAATACCATACAAACCCTCTTCCCTTTTTTCTTCGCCCCACATCCAAAGTCCCAGACTTAGCGGCACAGGGAACGCAGGGCGCCCCTTTCAGCTGCGCACAAAACGAAAGGGCTTGTTTTTAAAAAACCGAGTGTACTTGGGTGACGCTTAGGGCGCCCCCCGCAGTGCGCGCAGGGAAGCGCACCGAGGCTGCGGAGGCGGAGATGCATGCTGGGTGCGGGGGGGGGAAAGGTGGGCGAGAAGCAAAAGAAGTAAGATTTGGGAGCGCAAGGTTTAGGGGAGGGTGGAAAGGAAGGGCAAATGGGGACCAATGAGACTGGAGAACTAACTAAAAGGGCACAGACTTAGCGACTCCGCGACGGAGCCTGCCTGGGAGAGGGAGTCTCCGGGACGCAGGGGGGCTCCTGTAGCTGGCAGGTCGGTGGGCAGGAGGGGATCACAAACACGGCAGGGAAGTCTCGTCACTGCGAAGGGGACGCGGCATCCATCTCTTCTCGGGAACTGAGGAGACAGAAGGTCTGAGAATCCGCCCTCTCCTAGTGCTTCCTCGTTCTTCCTCCCCACTCCCTTTCTGAACCAGGATAATCTGGCGGAGAGTGCCAGGGGACACCTTCACCCAGACCCCTCTGCCCGAGTCACGGCGCTGAAATGAGCCCCGCGGCAGGTACGCCACCACGCGTTTACGCCCCTCGGCCGGGCTTGTGCAGCCAGACAGGGGTGACCGCGAATTCGCGTTGGCGCAGGTGTGTCCCAGTCGCAGTCTCTAGGGCCTCGAGGTATCAAGAAAACCCGAAGGCGTAGGATGCATTTTTCCCTGGCTGGGAGGGCATGGGGCTGGGCAGAGAGAAGGGTCTGGAACTCGGTCCTTTGCTCCCACCCCGCCGCCTCAAGGCCGTGTTCATTACCTTCGAAAATGCTCAGTTCTTCTTCGGTCCAGCGCGGGGCAAGAAGGGAGGTTGGAGAGGGAGAAACAGGTGAGCTCTCAGAACCTGCAGCACCCTCGGTCTCCTCCCACCCACCTCATGTCTGAGATTTCTGCTCCTACCTTTAGCGCCCCCCATGCCCTCTCCATCCCAATCCGCCCCTCGTCTCCCCCTGCTCCTTTGGGGAGGGCCGGGAAAGCCTCACCTGGCCTAGTCTCCGCTGGGGCCGCCGCCCGCGCCTCCCCGGGCGCCCCCAGCTCCGCCTGGTCCCCCAGGGCCCGGGCCCTTCCGGCCGCGCTCTCCGCTCTTTATCTTCTTCCGCGCCATGTGGCCCCGGAAACTCGCCTGGATTTTGGCAGCGGCCGCGTTGGCGCCGGGATCGTCCAGCGGGATGTCTAGAATGTCATCGTCCGGCTTGGAGCAGGCGCTCTCCTGAGGGCGAGGTGGGGGGCGGGGTAGTTCTTGTGGAATCACTGAGTCAAGACCCCGCAGGGATGGGGTAGGAATAGAGGCCCCGGGGACTAAAACGAAGGCGACTATGGTAGCTAAAAATGGTGGCTATGATGATTGTTTTATTTTTTACTTAATTTATTTATTTTTTTGAGTTGGAGTCTCACTCTGTCGCCCAGGCTGGAGTGCAGTGGCCGCTCCTGGCCACCGCAGCCTCCACCTGCTGGGCTCCGGCGATCCTTCCGCCTCAGCCTTCCAAGCAGCTGGAACTACAGGCACAAGCTATCACGCCCGGCTGATTTTTGATTTATTGTAGAGATGAGGTCTCGCCAAGTTGCCCAGGCGGGTCTCGAACCCGCGGGCTCAGGCAATCCACTCGTCTCAGCCTCCCAAAGCGAGGGATTACAGGCTGAGCCACCGAGCCTGGCTTGATGATTGTTTTAAATAGTAACATTAAGTCGATGTGAAATAGTTGTTTTCATAGGCCAAAGTGGTCATATTATAACAGTTATGTATATAGGCCATGCACTGGGGCCGGTGTGTTGTGGGGGCAGCGACAGGCAAGAGAAAGGCTCAGGGCCAAGTGGACACAGTTGTGTGATCAACTCGGTAAAGAGAAGTGCAAGGTGGGATTGGTGGGAAAGAGCCAGGCCCAACAACAGCAGGCGAATTAGGGGATCCGCAGAGCTGATTGGAGGGTGGGTTTGGAGGAGCCAGGAAAACAGCAGCAGGCTCTCCAGGAAGTGGCTTCCTGTGGCCCTGCTCTCAGAGAGTGCTTCCAGCTCAGAAGTGTGCCCCAAGGAGACGGTGAAGAAAGCTCAGCACCGGCCCTCTCTCTGAGTAGAACTGCACTCAGAGCTCACAGCTGGAATTAGGGTAAGGATGGGGCTACTGCTCAGTGGGTCAGCCCTTCCCTCCCCCAGAGCTAGAGGCCTAGAGACTGTTTTCCCATTGACTCTCCATTTTCCACTGCTCCCCAGGATGAACTCAAACACAGAAGAGAGGAGATGGTCTGTAAGAAGTGACAGAGAAAAAGCTTCACTCCAAAACAAGAAAACGAAAAGAGGCCAGGCACCATGGCTCGGCCTCTAATCCCAGCACTTTGGGAGGCTGAGGTGAAAGGATTGCCTGATCCTGGGCGTTGGAGACCAGCCTGGGCAACTTGATTAGACATCGTCTCTACATTAAATCACAAAAAATTAGCCGAGGGTGGTGGTGTGCATTTGTAGTTCCAGCTACTTGGAGAGTTGAGGTGGAAGGATTATCTAACTAAGCCCAGCAGGTCGAGGCTGCGGTGGCCATGAGCGTGCCACTGCATTCCAGCCTGGGTGACAGAGTGAGACTCCAACTCAAAAACAAAAAAAAAGAAAAGAAGGGCAAGTTATCTAGTATTTTTCTATCTCAGCTACTTCATCTGAAAAATCAGGATAATAACGTTCACCTTTGGCTGGGCATGGTGGCTCACACCCGTAGTCCCAGCAATTTGAGAGGCCGAGGCGAGAGGATTGCCTAAGCCTAGGGGCTTGAGGCAAGCCTGGGCCACATGGCGAGACCTTGGCTCTACAATAAATTAAAAAATTAGCCAGGTGTGTGGCTCACTCCTGTAGTCCCAGCTACCTGGGAGGCTGAGGCAGAAGGATTGCCTGAGCCCAGCAGACTGAGGCTGCAGTAGCTATGAGCATGCCACTGCACTCCAGTCTAGATGACATTGAGACTGTGACTCAAAAACTAAAAATAAAATAGTGTCCACTTTTATGGTCTGTGGGGAAGAATAAACAGCATGATATCATAAAATTTCTGGCACAATCTAGCTCCTCAGTAAGTGGTAGCTATTATGATTGTTCTAAATAACAACATTAAGTCGATGTGAAATAGTTGTTTTTTTAGGCCAAAAGTGGTTGTCCATCATATAATAACAATTTCACATGGTTCAACCTAATAATAATTAGACCCACCTCCATGCCCCAAAGTAGGTTTCTGTTTCTCCCACAGCCTGCCCTAGCTGAGAGTAGAAAGGGTTAGGGAACGGATGGTATTGGTTGCAGAGTGAGGTTCTGGAATGAAGAGGGATTCAGCCACCACGAGCCCCTTTGTTACTTAACATTACTTACAATATTAGTGTGAGTTGGGATGGGGAGGGTTACCAGGAAGTTAGAAGGGCATGTCCCCTTTGATCTGGCCCTCTGGCTTCTAGGAATTCACCCTCATTTTTCTGTGTGAGGACTTCCACTGCTTTCACTGTTTTTTCTTCTTCTAGGACATGAGATGACCAAGGTCTCACATCGTATTGGTAATTCACCTTGCACATTCCCCTCCCTGTCATCACCCATCCAGTTCACAGAAGGGGACAGGACATGAGTGAGGTTTCCGTGTTCACTGCCCTAGCTCGGTGCTGCCCCTGGAGCACAGGCTTAAATTCCAGATGCCCAAACACAGGTTTACAAATGGCTCATCCCCCCTCCTCACCCAAGGCTTTCCTCATTTCCTGGGCTTCAGAGTTCTTCAATTTATGCTCAAGGTGCCCACAATCTATTTAAACACAGTTAAAAGGCGTTACAGAGAGGCAGGTGTAGTTGTGGACGGGCCCAACACACTCGTCTTTCCCAGGTCTAGAGCTCTCCCTGACGTCTTATTCCTCACCTAAAATCAGAAACAACGCCTCTGGGTTCTTTGATTCTCAGAGCTCAATTCTTTCTTGGGATATCCTCAAGGAACAGGGACCCTTCTCAACCATAAAAAACCATTCCCGACCCACCTCTCCCCGTTGGCCTTGCAGCTGTGGAGGAGTGGGGAGTTGGAGTGAAGGGGTATCTTCCTCCAACCACGCTAGACCCGACCTGCTGTCACCACCCACCCCAGCTGGATCCAGAATGGAAACCTGGAACAACAGGCAAAGCCACCCCCGACATTCCACACTCGGCTCCTCTCCAGACTCTTCTCTAGAATCTGCTCCTTCTCCCTCTGGCGGAATTCTCACGGCAGAGCTGCTGGGTGACCAGTCCACAGGTGGAACTGGAAGGAGAGTAAAAGGAATCTGGAAAGGGGCTCATTGGTCATAGTGCACAGCTGGTGCCTTCCAAAGCCAAGATGGCTGGTGTGTGCCTGAGAGCTCCCTATGAACTAGGGATATCTGGGGGGGTGGGTGAGGTAGAAAGTACACTGGTCGGCAAAGCAGGATCCATGGCTTCTAGTCCCAACTGGGCACATCACTTCACCTCTGAGAGTCTCATTTTCTTCAGCCACAACTAGAACTTATCTTAAATGAATAAAGTCTCCTTCAGCTCCCAAATTCTAGTAGCTTTAAGGATTATCTCTGCCTACTATTTGCTATGTGCCAGGCCTTGTGCAAAGTATTTTGCACGTATTACCTCATTTAATCCTCATTTTAGAAGTCAGGAAACAGCTTGTGAGACGTTTTGTAACTTATCTAAGGTCGCTCAGCTGACAAATAGGTAAGTGACTGAATTCAATAGCCTCTGCTGTTAATCATTGCCTCAGGGCAGGTAATTATTTTTATGAATTCAGCTGCTCCAAGTCAACTAGACTAAGCAAAAGAAAATAGTCAGATCCAAAAAAATGTTCCTTTGCCTTTTCATATGCAGGGAATGCAGGAAAAATCATATATTTGTGGCTATGTAAATCAGCAACTGCAGCATTTGAATCAACAGCTCTGTCTCTTAAAAACAGCAGATCTGTTTTCTTCTCATTTCTGTTTGAGCCTCCTTGCCAAGAGAAAAGAAGGGAATAAGGCAAGACTAGTTTCTTCCCAAATACCAGGTGGGAAGAGGTGGTCAGGTGGTCAACCAGGAAAACCTCCAAATGAAAGATGAAGAAAGACCTGCCTCTAGCCACCCTCCCCACCCCCCAACCCCACACCAGGTCCGCTGTTCTCCCTACACATCCCAGCTGTCTTCTAGCACTGAGCCTGGACCACCACAGAACAGGGTAGGAGATGCCCAGCCACAGCCTTGACCTTCCCAACCCTCCACCCCATCACTCCTTTTTCTTCTTGCCCACAGCATAGTCTAATAATAATAAGTGCTCTCTCCTGCTCAGTCCTTTGGCTCTGCAGACTTGGGACAGGGCATGAATTGGAAAGGCTTCTGTGAATGGGACACACTAGAGAAGGTGCCCAGGGCCCTGGGCCAAGGGGTAATTGTGTATCTGCCTCCTCTGTGCCTTTTGGGTGGGCAGCCTCTCCTTTTTTTTTTTTTTAGGGGACACTAATTGCAACCATGGCTATCACTCTCTCAGTATGGTTTCCTGGGCCTTCAAGAGCAAGGGGCAGGGAGCTCACATCCCACCCTAATTACTGCTGCAGATACCAGAAGAGATAAGCTACTGTTCTTTCCCTGGCTTCTTACATTCTTTGCTCACTCCCCTCTTCCCACTGGCCATGCCTCCTGCTTCCCCTTCCCCAGCAATACTTCACTCTCACTGCTCCCCCTTCTGCTCCTCATATCCCAGAACCCACCATCCATTTATTTTCTCTATAAACACTGCTGAGGGTGAGGGGCCCTTCCTTCATGGAGCCCAGAAACCTGTATCAGGAGCCCATGTCCCCTTTCACCCTTTCACAACCCAAAATGCTTCCTGGAGAATAACAGAGGGAAAGATTGGCAGGGGATGTGTTATCAGGGTGTTCTCCAGGGGGTGGGGCTGTAGGTGACTGACATATTTCTTTAAGGTTTTTTTTTTTTTGGTTTTCACATTTTTCATTATGAGCACATTACTTTTATAATGTGGAAAAAACAGTAAATATTTAGAGGAGAGGTTAAAGTACAGCTATTTGAAGCAGAAAGGGTTATGCTTGACTCCTACCTCCACACTTAGGAGCTGTGCTTCCTTAGGAAAATAACTTAATCTTTCTAAACCTCTGTCTGCACATCTGTGAAATACCTACCTTGCAGGGTTGTTGTGATGATTAAATATAAGGTGCTAGGTATATGGTGGGCATTCACAAACTGGCAACTATTACTGACACTAATAAGAGTTAAAATTGCAACAGCCACGACTTGCCTCTAAGTTTTCTCTGCCTCTTGGTACCCAGACATTGGGAAGTCTCACCTCTTGTAGAATTGCACTGACCTTTCCTTCCTAACCTCACTTATTTTTTTCTTTCCTACGCCATGGAGTGGAGGGTGGAGAATTGGCAAAGTCAGTAACCTCCTGTATCATTAGTGGGGCTGACTGCGAATACAAGGACATTGGAATGGGCTTTCCTCAGATGTAGGGGCCATAATAAGTGTATTTTATATACGTAGGATCACTGTACCCTCCCAGTGAGCCAGGAGCCAGGTACCGTGCCAGGCGCCTTCACACCAAGTCACCTTAACAGTAACCTACTTTGGCTTTAGGCACTGGCAGGATCCAGAGTCGTGTGGGCGCCGACAAATTGCTGACACTTCCTTCCCTCGCCAGCAGGGCTCTCTTTCGCGGTCACTTCACCCAGCCCCCTCCAGAGCGAGAAGGCGGTGGGGGCCAGGCTATCCCATCCCCAGAATCGCACTGACTAGGCTCTTTGCTACCCATCATGACTACTAAGCTAACCAATATGAATCGTTTGTCTCAGCCTGAGCTGCACAGGACGCTTAGGTGATTGTTGGAGGGTCATGAGGATCTGCCTGTCCGCCCACCGACGGCGGCGTCAGTGGGATGGAGAACGGTGTGAGGGCCGAAAGCCAGGGAAAAGGAGTCGCCGCAGTTTCTCTAGGCGATGGTTTCCAGCGTCTCCCTGGGGAGGAAGGTCCTCCTGTCTTCTAACCTGCAGCTCCCCTTTGCAGAGCCCTGCTGAGCTCCCAATCCAACCTAGACTGCCTGGCGGATGGACGCTCAGACGCCCCCGCCAGTTGGGGAGCATTTTTCCTGGGGCTTCCAAGTCGGGCGGGCGCCTTTCACCACCCACCACCCACGTCTCAGCAGGCACCCCTTTTTGCTCCTAGGTCTTCCGCATCCACGTCCATCCCTCACTCTCCCTCCAGGGCGTTCTCGGGCATCCCTTGCCACAGACCAAGCTGAGTGCCCGTCCCCTGGGCCCTCTAACTTACGGTGCAGCAGTCCATGCTGGTGTCGGGAGTCCTTGGTTGGGGCGGAGGTTGGCGCAGGGCGGGGGTGGGGGGCTATGTGATGCTGGTGGGGGATCTGGGGCAGTCGGCCGCCCGCCGACCCGCGCCGAACCAGCCGCTAGCCTCTCGGGTCCGGTCTCCCGCGCTCGGCTCCGCTCGCGAATGTAACCTGAGCCCCGCGGCCGGAAAGCCAATCAGGAGCAGCCTTCGGCAGGGTGGGCGGGGAGGAGTGGAGAGGGGACCACGCCCTCTCGCGGCTCCCTCCGCCGCGCTCCCTCTCCGGCCCCAACCCCTCCGCCTACACACTTATAGCCATGCCTCCCACGCCCTGCGTCCTCCCGAACTCAGCCCCCTGGCGGGCTACGCGGCAGAATGCCCCGCAGATGTGTGCCGGAGTGGGCAGAAAGAGGTTCCGGGCACAGACACTCACATCTGGGCACAGCACCCCCTCCGCTCATAGATTGAAAACCACGCACCCCTCACCCACCTCTCCACACTTCCACAACCTAGCTAGAGTCCCAAATATGGCTCCCTCTAACTTCCCTCCCCCTCAGTCCGCAAAGAAAAGCTTCCTCAGACGTGCAGTTACAGTCTCATCAGTACGGCTACTGAACGGAGAAAGCTGTTGGTACACAACCTGGGTGAGAATGGGCACGTATCGACACAAAAACTCACAAGTCCCTCGCGTCCATGTGTGATACTCACAGGCTCACTAAAACATGTCTTGCTTCCAACATACAGACGCTGCAGACACCACCCGCAAAAATAACTACGCAGACCTTGTACACACACCCTGTGCGGTTGCAGGTAAATGCAGATACCCTGTTGTGCACATGCACGCTCACACGGGCAACCACCCTACTCGAGTCGTCTGTCTGCGTTACGTGTCTGTTATCTATTCCCTGCACCAAACAAACAGAATCATATGTGAACAATACCCATTTTGTGTGTATTTACCTATGGATACTAACTTGGAAGTAATACTCTCTTCACCGCCCCCCATACCAGACTCTCCTAACACCTTGCTCTACTGCCTCAGAATAAAACAAAAACTGGCCACCTTCACCCTTGTTTCTGAGAAGAAGAAAAATATTCTAAACCGAAGTATAGGAAATTCGATGTAATTGACTCATTGGGTCCATGATGAGGAAGGATGTGTGGACTTTGTGAGGGTTTGGGAAGAGGAGATATGGAAGGAGCATCCGGGAGGGACAGCCTGTCACTTTTGCCGTTGCCACCCTCCCCCAACTGGTCAGAGTACAAGAGCTGGCAGTGTGGCATGTTGTGTGGTAGGTAGGGTGGACCTTCTCTGAGAAAACTAGAAAGTCTTTCTGAGCTAAGGTCCCAGAGGAGGGAATGAGAAAAGGATGGCTGCTGCTCAGTGCAAAGGAGGGGAAAACACCTTATGGCTCTGGGTGGCACAGATACCTTGAGACAGTACTGCTATGAATCCCTGGCCGCTGGCCATGGCCTATCATCATGGCTGTTTCATGCTTCTTTGCCACCTGAACATTTGGGCCAGAGGTTTTGCTTGTCAAATGGAAAATGAGTGGGAAGGAAATTCCTGTGTCCACTCAGGATAGGGATAGGGTTAGCCAGCTTGGGCCCCAAACTAAGCTGGATACTGGCTGGGATTCCAGGGCTTGGGGTGTAGGGGTGTCTCTCCTGGCATGTTCGGGACCCACCCACTTTTGTAACTAAAAATCTGTTCCCCAATCTGTCTCTGGCACATCCTCCATCTCCCCACCTCCACCGAATAGCTGGATGTCCTGGGAACGCAGTCCCTTACTTAAATCGTGAGCACCTAGGGCCTTGGGTTGGGCCAATTACTGCTGGACTTCAACTCCAGAATACAGAGAGGAGAGGAAGTGGGAAATTAGAGGGCCAGAGTGGATACCAGGCCTAGACTCTGTGCTTTTCTCTTCCCGAATTAGAGCTGAGGAATTCGGGATTTGGTGAGTTTGCAGTAAAGTCTCCCAAGTTGCTAGGCAACATCCCTCTGCAGGCTGCGCTGCCTCTGGGCCCTTCTTCCTGCTGGTCAGAGCTGAAAGGGGGAGTTATCTTTACAACACCCCCCCAAACTCCCACACAAGCAGCACAGCCCTTCCCTTTTCCTGAAAGACACCTTTGTGTGGGGTGAGGGTGTCTCTGAACACTGGCGGGCCCATGGGAGAACAGTTACAGGCAACTGTCAGTTTTATCTGCAAAACAACCATTTCAGCAACAGCCCACTTGAGGCACCCACGCAGAACTGGCCACAGTGCTGGCCCTGGGGGATGGGTAGGCTCTGAGGTGAGGAAAAGACAGAGGAAGGCAGAGCCAAGAATGAGAAGACAGTCACTCACAAACTCAAATACCAGAGGCAGGAGCAGCAACACATATGGTTTCCTATAAATGACACATACACATAGACCTAGAGAACAGATATACTGCCCATGCATTCACAGACACACACACACCCTGAGCAGATTGTTATACACTGACATCAAAAGACATGCTGAGAGTGGAGCCCATAACCACTGTGCAGCCAGGGCACATACTAACCCTGGTGAGATTCTTCTTCTGGACCTCTAGGTGACTAGAGTTTGTTAGCAAGGTAGGCAGTTGGACACTGAGCCTGTGATTCTCAACTAGATGAGCTAGGAAAAGGGACAGGTACAGTGTGGGGTGCTTTGTTCTGGCTTTGCAGGACTCTGGTCCTTGGCAGCATGATGCTGGGTGATGATCCCCACAGTAACCTACCTGGCTTAGGGTCTGGGTGCCACCTGTCGACTTGGAGTATTACTGACCAGCTGAACTTGGACCCTGTAGTTTTCCCTGACTTTTCAAATTTCAGACCTCTCCTCCACAGGTGCCAGCCCCCATAGCTACTGAAGGAGAAGGGCTGCAGGGCTGGGAAGAGAGGGAGCTGGGGCATGTCAGTGGGTGCCGTGGGCTGGAGCCAGGAGGGAGTACAGAGGTTAGAGGGGTGAGGAATAGAAACCAAGGCAGGCAGAAGAGAAGATGGTTAAACAAAAGAGAGGATAAAAGATGAATTCGTGGGAAGCTTCTGTGGTCCAATGCAGATTCTTCTTGGGACAGATGGAAGGGGATTTGGACAGGGTTGGTCCTAGTAAGCAGGAAGAAAAGCCAAAGCATGTGACAATCTATTTGCCAATACTTGTGGCTTCCCCTCCTCAGTGTGGGTACCTTCTGAACATAACATCCCAGCTCGAGCCCACAGAGAGACTCCGTAATCAGAAGGGGGCTGGAAAGTAGGAGGGCTGTGCCTTTGACGGAGCTGATCTGGGGGCTTCTTAGGTCAGGATTTTACCCATTTGAGTGGAGGGGGTGGAGGTAGCAGGAAATTCAGTTTTCTCTGCAAATATTTCAGCTTTTGCTGTCGTAGTATTTTTAGCAACCTGGTTGGCAGAGGAGGAGCCCGGGTACATTTTTAAAGGGGCCTCTGCCAGACTGGAGGCCTCTCCCCACCCTCACCCCACATGTTATTAAGGAGAGGGGGAGAATGCATATGGCTCAAGGGGTGCATTCAAATGTAAAAATCAGGTTTGCTGGGCATTAGATGACCATTAAGTCATCTTCATCCATAGTTGTTATCACTTATAACCTGCATCATTATTGTTAGCAGCATTATCAAGAATAGTAAATACTTCTTGAATTTCTGCTGAGTGCAGGATGCTGCTAGGGACACAATACAGAAGACTTGATATAATATATTTGGTAAGATGGAGAAAGAGCCGACACTATTGAGTGAGTACTAAGCTAAATATGAATAGTGCTTTACAAAGTGCTACCATATCCGTTATTTAAGGTGGTGCTTTTGAAAACTGTGTGGGGAGGTATTTGTATTTTTAACCTCTTTTTCTGAGGAAGAAACTGAGGCCTAGCAAGGCTAAGTGTCTTGTTATCTGTGTGGCATTCGATCTCTAATGAAACACAGAACTAGGGCTAAGACACAGACGCCTGACTTTGAATTTTGCTTTTCCCCTCTAACGTGCTCCTAGCACTTGTACTGGGCTCCATGTAATGGGTTATGTGATCAACAAATCAGACATAGTCTTTTTTCTCTTGGAACTTATAGTCTGATGGAAGAAGTACATATGTGTGCAGAAAATAAAGTAATGAATGATAGACACCAAGTGAATGAATAAATATTATGAGAATTGAGGTGTGGGAGAAATGATTGAGAATTTGGATGATCGGAAGGCTTCCTGGACAAGGATGGTTTGAAGCAGGACTAGGACTCAGACAAATTGATGGGGGTCAGGACTGAGCAGGACATTTGAGGCAGGAGCAAATGTTGCGAGCCATGCTGTACATTAATATCACTGTGAGCTCATGCCACCCCAGCCCAGAAGGCCCTGAGGATGGCAATCCTCATCTCCTTCCTTTCACATTTGATTTTATGTCCAAAGCTCAGTGCCCTGAATTCATCTATGGTGACATATTGGAGGCCACCAGGACCTGTAGGTACATACCAGTTGGTCTTCAGAGCTCTAACACACGCCTCCCCCTTTATCCTACTGATGTACCAGGTCTACTTCAACCACCTCCACCTCTTTTCTTCTGGATCTCGGTGTAGTGCAAAGTCCTGGAAGTGGTTGCTCTTTGTTTCAATATTGCTCCATACATCTGCTAGTTGTACATTTTTCTACTTCTCGTTCCTTGGTTTACTTCCCCACCTTTCCTAATGAGTGAAATCTAGTAATGGCTAAGCAGTGTGTATACCTGCTGGGCCTACAGTCCTGCCTGTAAACATTTGACAAACAACATTTTAGTAACAAGACACCAACCATCTTATTAACATTTGAGTAACAAAATCTAGACAAACCTAATAATAATCAGCTCAGTTTGCATCCAGACAAATGCCTGATTTAATTGATTTTTGCAAAAAGACTTACATGACGTGTAATTTTTTAATCTTATTTCTTGGCCCACTCAAGGACATTTGCTCTTTTTAGAATTCGACTGGATAGTCAGATAAAGGAAATTCCTGGTTCAACCAGTGATGCGTGTCTAGTGAACCAAGTGAGGTTCAGGCCATTCTCCCTGTCATTGCTTATGTTAGGGCAGAGGCAGGAGGGAAACTCATTCAGGAGATGAAGACCCTCTTAAAATCATCCAGATGGGTGTCCCTTAACTTGCCTGTATGTGGTCAGCATCCCAGCTCA